GTAATGGTTTTAAAAAATGTTGTTAACGGTATTGATGCTGTTATTGGTATGGATATTATTAATCGTTGTGGAGGAGTGCACCTATACGATGGAAAAATTGAATTTGGTTTTGTTTCAATTCACACAGAAAAACAATTTGTTGATATAAAGGACAAGGACTTTGACGCTAATTTTGATGGCATGAAATGGACTGCTAAATATAAATGGAAACAAGATGAACCACAACTAAAGAATTTTGTCACGCAGTACAAAGTAAAACCCAAGTTGATACATCAATTTAACGAAGAGATGGACTTATGGGTGGAAAATGGTTGGCTGAAACCATGTAAAATAGATGAAAATAATAAAAAAGGGATTGTCCCTTTAATGGCAGTTGAACAAGAAAATAAAGGGAAGATACGACCTGTCTTGGATTTTCGCGAGTTGAACCAATACGTTAATTCAAATAACGCTTCAAGTGATGCCTGCGATGAAACATTGAGAAGATGGAGAAAAGTTGGTGACAAATTTGCACTGCTTGATCTCAGATGCGCCTACATGCAAATACACATTGATCCGGTTTTGTGGAAGTATCAGAGGGTAGTCTACAAAGAGATGCAATATCATCTTACACGACTCGGATTTGGGTTAAATTCTGCACCAAAGATTATGTCTTCAATCTTAGGCAAAGTGCTAAGTCTTGATGCAGGTATTGATGAAGCAACTGACCATTATATCGAAGACATAATTGTTGATTTGAAAAAGACATCGGTTGAAAATGTCGTAAACCACTTGGAACGGTATGGTTTGTTAACAAAAGAGCCGGAAGATTGTGATGGTGCCCGAGTTTTGGGTTTGCAAATATTCAGAAACGATAAAAAAGTGCTTTGTTGGAAACGCGGCAATATCATTCCAAAGTCAGAAGACATCGAAAATGAAAAAATTACACGTCGGAGATTGTTTTCAATATGTGGTCACTTGATTGGACACTATCCAATTGGAAACTGGCTCAGAATTGCCTGCAGCTTTACAAAACGTTATAGCGAAGGAGATGCTTGGGATGACCTAATAGGAGATCAAGCACAGTCATGGTTGGTCGAAATATTGCGCCGTTTGGAAGCTAGTGATCCTGTAAATGGGACATGGAATGCTGATGGTATTCAAAATGGAGCAATATTGTGGTGTGATGCTAGTAGTATTGCAATTGGTGTTGCAATCGAATATAACGGCGTAATAGTTGAGGATGCAGCATGGCTACGAAGTACAAATGATGTCATGCATATTAATATGGCTGAATTAGATGCTGTGGTGCGTGGAATAAACCTAGCTGTTAAGTGGGACATCAAGAACCTATCGATATTTATTGACTCGGTAACTGTTCATGGATGGTTAAAAAGTGTGCTGACTGAAAGTCATAGGGTTCGGTCAAATGGACTATCAGAAATGCTAATCAAACGAAGACTTTCATTATTGCGTGATTTAATAAAGGAATACAGTATGAACATCATAGTGAAGTGGGTTCCGTCTTCTAAAAACAAAGCAGATGTATTAACAAGAGTTTCAAAAAAGTGGTTAAATGAAATTTCACGAAAAAATGTTAAAGAATTATGTGGGGTAAATATTGCCAATGAAATTCGTAAATGTCACTCGAAACATCATTTTGGCGTTAATCGAACAATGTTTACAGTACAACAAAGAATCCCGCAAGTGTCGAGAAAAGACGTTAAAGACTGTGTGCGCAAATGTCGTCAATGTAGTTCAATTGATCCAGCACCAATAAAATGGGAACATGGAGTGCTAGATGTACCAGATACATGGTATCGTATCGCATGTGACGTAACTCACTATAAAAGGTCACCGTACCTAACAATGATTGATTGTGGACCAAGTCGATTCGCAGTATGGAGAAAGATGCTACACGAAGATACAAAGAGTATATTAATTCAATTGGATTCCGTATTTAGGGAGCATGGCCCGCCACACGAACTATTGATGGACAATGGAGCTGTGTTTAGATCAAATGAGTTGTCAAACATGTGTAAAAAATGGTGTGTGCAAAAGATGTATAGATGTGCATATAGACCATCAGGAAATGGTATCGTGGAGCGTAACCACCGCACAGTAAAACGCGCATCTGCGAGAGCACAGATATGTCCGTTACAAGCGGTATTTTGGTATAATGCAACACCAATGATTGGAACGCAAGAAGACTCTACACCTGCTTCTCTAAAAAATAAGTACTATGGCGTCTACCTATTCACAACACAGAAAGTCACGAAAGACCACAAAAGGACTCGGCAACCTATAGAATTGGAGAACAAGTTTATGTTCGTCCTGTTGGTGCAAAGTGTACAACGATTTGGAAAATTGGTAACGTGACCAATATACTCTCAAAAACAAATATTGAAATCGATGGTGTACCACGACATGTGAGAGACGTGAGAATAGTTCCTGAATCACATGGTGAGAAAGTTTCAAGAATGAATAGTGTTGAAGAAAATGAAAGCGACAAAAGTGAGTTCGACGATTTACATATTGCAAGAGACGAGGAAGTTGAAGAGTCAGTTGATGAAGAGTCAGTTGCTGACGAAGAAAATGACGGTATTGAAGTCATGGATAATTTATTACCGTTGCTCAGACGTTTGACTAGAGAACGGAGAAGGCCGACATATTTAAATGACTATTTGCCTTAAGAACTTAGTTCTTGGGGAGATGTTAATAGCTAATTTGTAAACGCTATTATAATTTAATAGCGTTTACAAATCCTTAGTGTAAATATGTCGTAATTTCTTTTTTACTTTTTGTTTGTACATAATTATCCCAAGGGAGCTTTTGTTGTTGACGAAATGTATAAAAATTGTAAATAGTATGAAAAAGAACAGAGTTCATAAAAAGTAAAGATAGTTGTCGTTTTACATATATATATATAGGGAAAAAACTAGGGATGTACCAAAGCTAAAATTTTGCGGAAGCCGAAGCTTCGGCACTATATACGCTAAAAATTTAATCAGCATTCAGATCAGCAGGGGTGTAAAACAAAAAAGGTACCAAAACTAAGGTCCTTGATTAATAATATAGAAAAATTGTATAAAAATGAGGACGCCAGTCAGGGTTGCTGTCCCAGGCAGGGCAAAAGCTCTCAGCGCCCCTGTTAGAAAGTTTCTCATTATGTCGTTTCTGATACTTGACCGCACCGAGCGTTTTTTTTTTAAACTTAAACTTTTTTGAAACATTCTCCCCAAATTCTTCTACTTCTAGTTCTACTTTTTCTGTGTGCAAACCATATTAATGTTATATAGCATCTTTTAATGTGCTGTATATTTTATTTTTATTTTTAATGCACCTTTTGTTAATAGAAGTGGATAAAAATCTCTGAACATTACTAGAGTAAATTTACCTTTTGCACTTGATCACTCTTTCTTTAAAAAAACACTCTTAGCTGATCTAGTTGTATCTACAACATAAAAAATTTTACAAATACACTTTATCTTTTTATTGCTATTTATTTCAATATCTTTTTTCTACTTCTCTGTATTCATTAAACGAACAGTTTCTAAACAAAAAAAAAACCAAGTTAAGACCATTTTGTATTCCACTACAACTGTTGTGAACCTAGTGCTAAAAAAAAGTACAAATAATAGATTTCTCTCTAACTTCTTTTTTACACACTTTTAAGTATTTTTTTTTTTATTATTTTTAACATTACACTACATAACATTTTCTTTAGCTTCTCTTAATCTTTTACACTCTGAAATCTTACTATTCATTCTTCTTCTGTCTCTGTAATGAATAAATCTGCATCAATATTTTAAATCAAATATTAACTATCTGTGATAAAAGCTTCAACTCTATAGAGTGAGCTTTAAATGAAATAATAAATAGAATACTTTATAAATTTTTTATTTATAATTATATTATTATTTACTTTATATTTATAAATAAACAGGGATTGAGCAGGCGATATTTATTTGATTTAAATTGTTTATTTAATTTAAATAAATTTTGATGATAAATATAAGAGCTCAAAGTAATCAAAGCTTCAACCTTTAATTTATTTTAAATAAAATTTAATAGTCTTCATAATATCATAAGAAGAAGTCAGAATATAGGTTTACATGTTTAATATATAAATTCAATATAGAAGTATTCATAATGTTAATAAAAGAGCAAGGATAATTATTATCATTGTTTTTCTTTTTCTTTTAATTTAGTTTTTCTTGACTTTTTTTTTATTTTTTTATTTTCCTCATTTATATTTCATTTGCTTTTCTTCCTTATTGTTGTTGAGAACTTTACGTTTTTTATGTGTCACTCCATTGACTAGTTTGTATCTATATAAGTGACACCTAACAAATTTCTGTAAATTTACGATGAAAATTTGTAAATTTTTATTAATATGGTTAAATAAAATTTTAAAAAATTAAACATACACACAATTTAAAATAGTAGCCACGTATCTTTAATCTTCTTTAAAGAGAGATTACTAAGGTTTATAGGTCAAATGTTGAAACCAAATTTTGTTCTATTTGCGGTAATCCCACACAATAATTAATATGAATTCGTTACATAATACAAATTAAAGTTTTAAAAACTTTTAATTTGTTTTAAATTATAAGATTTTTATTATGCATAGAAATGCTGATTCAGTTCACCTAAAGTCACACTTGGAAGCTTTCAAAGTGTATGAGAACCTTCCCTAATTTTATTATTATTTTAAAAATATTTTTACTTATTTATTATTATCCCCTCCATAACAAAACACTTGGGAGTAAATAATACTAAGTATATGGTATAGATTCCAACTTTAACTCGGTAGTCCTGAATTTATAACTTAATTAGACACTGGCAATTAGCGTATTTTTATAACTTGTCCAACAGTAGCTTAGAACTTTTATTACTTAAAATTTTTTGCGGAAGCCAAAGATTCAGCAAAAAATTGACCTGGCTTCGGCCGAACCGAAGCTTCGGCATTTTTGCCGAAGCTTCCTAGAAAAAATCATCCCTAGAAAAAACACAAAAATTAACTAAAGTTCTATTTGTGTTAATAAGGTATATATAAATACAAGCGAGGTAATCCACAAGGAAGCCCCTTGGGCGATGTTTGTAGTGAATTGCTTTGTTTTTCAAAAAATAAATTTGATGTATGAACTTTTGATGATAATGTTCAAATTATTTGCGACTTCTACAATGAGGAAGAAATACTTGAAGCCAAAGCAGTGATGTTTCAACTTCTTCCTGAAAAGAGTATTGTTAAAACATGGAAGTGATAAATGTAAGAAAACCGTGGAAGATTTGTTAAAGGTGCTTCTAGACCCTAATAATAAGTTGCCCAGTTTTTATGTAGTGAATTGATCTAGATTACCTCCTGTTGGAATAGAACATATTGATATAAGTGCTTTGTTCCAGGAGGTTACTTATCTTCGATCAGAAGTAAAACAATTTTTGAGTTTTCAAAATGAAATGAAAATTATGATGAATTCAATGAATCACCATGTTTTAAACGAAAACCAATGTCAACAGGCCAAACCAAATTCACAGATGATGAATACAATAAACCAACATGTATTATATGAAAACTAAATTCAACATGCTCATAAAAATCTTAACAGCAGTCAAACTCTTAATAACGCTGACTATTCACACCTAACAAAAGAATAACCTGTTCAAATACAAGCAGAAACATCAGTACGTCAACTATCCTCATATATTGTTAGAAATGGTATTCAAAAACAACCGATAAAGAAAAAGGTATTTAAAATGAATAATACTATTTTAGGTTCTTTTGATCCCAATAAGCAACTTAAACTAACACTGAATGACCTGCCTAAAAGAAATGTTGGTATTTTTGTTTCAAGACTAGATCCTTTAACTACAGAGAAAGATGTTATTGATTGTACTATAATATTTTGCAAATTGAGAATGATTACTCTGTAAAATGTGAGAAGTTAAAGTCTAAATATCCTGGATATTCTTCATGTTATATATCTGTTTCTGTTGAACATTCTCAGTTAAAAAGTAAAGTAGATTGTCTAATGTCAAATGAAGTCTGGCCAAATGGTCTACTTGTAATAAGATATTTTAAGCCCAAAAATGGCCAACAATAATAGCTTATCATTTTGTTCTTTCAACTGTCGCTCGTTTAAAAATAGTGTTTTTGCTATAAAGAACATGCGTAATGAATATGACTTTATTTTGCTCTAAGAGCATTAGTTATTGTCCTATGAGCTTGGTTTATTAAACAATGTTCATTATGATTATTATGGTACTGGTTTATCTACTGTCAATATTTCATCTGATATAATGATTGGAAGATCATATTGTGGTACAGCCATATTATATCGTAAAGATCTTGCTAAAAGTATTCAAATTATTGAATCTTATGAATCTAGAATCTCATATTTAAAAATTGTCTCAAATATTGGTCCTATGCTGTTGCTAAATGTATACATGCCAAAAAATTATAATGATGACCATAGTGTTCATAATTACATTGGTTTATGCTCAAAAATAAAGTCTATTATAGCTTAGGTTGATGTTATTCATATTATTATTGCTGGCAACTTCAATTGTGAAGAAGGGTCAAGATTTTTTGATGAGTTCTCAAATCTGATAACAGAAAATAATCTAATTAAACCCGATATTAATTATATAAACAACACTTTTACATATTTTAGTGATGATGGAAATCATGTCTCATGGTTGGATTACATTCTGTGCAGCCCAACAATTGATAATTTGATAATAGATATTTCAGTTCTGACAGATGTTATAGCATCAGATCATAAACCAAAAAAGTTCTCTTTTTCTTGCTTATTGAAAAATACAACCAAAATAAAAAGTAACAATCTTTATCTGAAATTGTCTAGTAGTAATACTAAATAGCAGACTTGTAATGACAAGTCATTATCCCTTTATGAGAAAAGGTTAGACCTCTTATTACAATCTATACATGTACCATTTAACTTTTTTACTGATGACATTTTAGTAACCTATAGGGCTGATGTTTATATAGACTTATTTTATAGTGACCTCATGAATTGTATTCAATCTGTTGTGGCTGACACTATACCACACAGTGGGGGCAACAATATAAATTCTGAATTTAAAACTCCTGGTTGGAATAATTTTGTTAAAAACAAGCATGATATTGCTAGAGATGCATTTAAACTATGGATTTTGCATGGGAAACTAAAGCATGGTGATCTTTTTGAGAAAATGAAGAGTACTTGTGCCACCTTTAAACTTGCTATGAGACACTGTAAGAGGCATAGTGAGCAAATAAAAGCTGATAAGTGTGCAGAAAATTTTTATAAGATGGATTTAAAAAAGTTTTGGAGCAGTATAATTGTATCACTAACATAAAAGCGGTGAATCACGTTGCTAGTGTGGGAGGAGCCACGGGAGACAATGATATAGCTTATATGTGGAAATATCACTTTCAAACAATGTATAACTCTATAAAAAATACAGAGTACAAAGGCCACTTTGCTGAGAAAATCCAGCTACTTAAACAAGGTAATTTAAATATTAACATAAGTGCCAATGATGTTATCGCATCAATAAAAATAAAAAATCAGGAAAAGTAGCTGGTTCTGATGGTATATGTATGGAAGCTTTTAGAAAGATTACATCTTCTAATTAGTATGTTTTTTAATCTCTGTTTAAGACATGGATATTTACCATCCAAGTTCTGTTAATCTTCCATTATTCCTTTGGTAAAGTGCAAAGTGGCCAACCTAACTGATGTGAACAATTACAGGGCAGTTGCACTATCCCCAGCTATATCAAAAAATATTTGAAAATATTTTGTTACAAAAAATAAATATACCAGACAATTTAAATAATTATCAGTTTGGTTTTAAACAGAAGCATTCTACAACCTTATGCACAAGTTATTTAAAGAAAGCTATTTATTACTACACATCTAGAAGTAGTCATGTGTTTACATCATTTATAGATGTTAATAAAGCACTTGATAGCGTTGATTACTGGCTTCTGTTCTGTAACCTATTAGATCAAGAAATATCAAAAAATATCATAAGTCTGTTTGCATTCTGGTACAGCAACCAGGAAATGTGTATTAGTTGGCAGAAAGCTAAATCTTCTTTAGTTTAGTTAGCTTTTAGTATAGGAAATGGTGTGCGACAATGTGGTGTTTTATCACCATTACTATTTAGGTTTTACATTAGTAATCTTGTATTTAAAATTTCAAATATGCGTACTTGCTGCAATTTAGGAGGGATTTTTCCAATATTCTTGCTTATGCTGATGACATAGTACTTATAGCTCTATCTTGTCTCTACAAAAATTATTGAATGCAGTTAATGCCGAGGCCTTAATAATGAATATGTCTTTTAACACAAAGAAGACAGTTTGTATGGTTTTTAACCCTAAACAAAAATCAACAATTGTGTAGCTGTCGTTTCCAAAATTGAATGTAGCAGGTTGCAATCTAGAATTTGCTGACATCTTTAAATACCTTGGTCATATTGTGAGAAATGATCTAGCAGATAATACTGATATAAAAAAAGAGATAAAAAATCTATATACTAAATATGCTAATTAGGCACTTTTACAGGTGTTCAAACCTAGTTAAAGTAAGACTATTCCAATCACATTGTATATTTGTGATATTTGTATATCAATGAGTGTGCCAAAAGAAATCTCACTTTTGGTTCAATTAACAGAATATTAAGATTGTCCAAATGATGGATAATTGTAGATGACTGTATCTGTTCTTTTTATTGACTATTATTTTATTTATTTTTCTCTATGGACCTTGTGCCTATTTATATGTACACGATGTTTGAATTAAATACATTAATAATATATATATATATATATATATATATATATATATATATAAATAAATATATATATATATATATATATATATATATATATAAATAAATATATGTATATATATATATATATATATATATATATATATATATATATATATATATATATATATATATATATATATATATATATATATATATATATATATATATATATATATATATATATATATATATATATAAATCCAATATATTATGAAACAACAAGCAACAAAATAAAAACTTTTTCTGAAATTCTTGACTGGGTGGCATGTGGGATATCTGAACAACAAAACCGTTAAATTAAAAACTGTTTTCAGATTTAGATTCAGCATTATCGATTTAGTATAAAAACATCAAAATTTTAATTATGGCCAAAAATCAATTTTTTCAGACCACTGCATCCGGACAAAAATAAACTTGATTTGTCATTAAAGTGTTTAACAAGTTTATTATGTTGAATGATCAGTATATTTTATAATCATTTCTCCTTATTTAGTTACAACATCCTCGACAACTCTAAACACATTTGAAGAAGATAGTTTAAAATTAGAAGCAAACAGAGATAAATTGTTCATATCTGCTTTATATTTATAGCCAGAATGTAATTATCATTCTAGCTATGAATTATCTTTTAGGTTCAATTTTATAAACTAAAAAATGCTACATTAAATAAAATAATAAATGCTCCATTATATAAAACTTGTTGTAACACATGTAATGTAAAAAGTAAAAAAAAAATTAAAAATGCAAAAAATGATGGTAAACAACTTTATTAAATTTTGATACTTTTTTTTACCAGTCTCAATCAATTGTTGGCCAGTAATTGTCTCAATCAATTGTTGGCCACTGGTCATTAAAAAAACAACAGTTTATTATTCATTAAAATTAATTTAGTAAATCAAAACTTGTTTAGTATAGTAATAAAATTTAAAAAAATATTTAGAAACATTAAATGAATAAGTCAGATAATGATTCGAAACTTTCTCCTCATTAAATAAATCTACAATTGATGTTTTTTATTTCTATTTTAAGACCACTATCCAATTCATTGTGATATTTTTAGCTAAATGGTTTGACAAAATAACTAAAATTAAATGACAACTTGACAAAAATGAGCTTATAAATCTGCATTTTAAAAATTCAACTCACCACCTGTAATTTTAAATAAACTTTTGAAGTTTAGAATCAGATTATATAAAATTACTAAAAAAACAATACATAAAAAGCAACTCAATAACAATTAAAGGAATAATTTGATATGATCAAAGCTGTTTTGTGTTTCACCACTGTCAAGTTACTCTCAGGTGCTTAATACAAGGTGGGGTGGGTATAAAGCGATGGGTGGGAATTTTTATCCAGATATAATAAATGGGGGGAGATCAGAAAGGAAGGGGGAAATGGGGAAAGGGTCTTAACAAACAGATAGGTGGGAATTTTCATTTTTATTCTAAGTGAGTTTATATTTTCTAATTTTTAAGAACTAAACCGGTCTCACAAATAAAAAAATCTCTGAAAATTTTTTATAAAAATTTAATGAACAGGGCAAGCAGGTCTAAATAAGCTCAGGGTGGGTGGCAAAATTTTCAGAAAATTAATAAACGTCAACTTCCATGTATTAAGCACTTAACAGTGCCACCTTTTTTTTTCTTTTGATTTTTCATAATTCCTGGTTTATAAGTAACAAATTTAAATAGATTTGATAAATTTTTTTTTCTGTTTAAGAAAAGACCATTCTCCAATTCTTTTTAAACTCTTACTAAACTATTCAGGAGGACATCTAAGTAAAAAATTTAAATAAAATAAATCAAGCTATATCAGCATTTTTGTAATTAAACACCTCCTAGTAAATAAAGATAAAGGTTAAAATTTCAGGTGTTATGTTTATTTTTATATAAATATTTTGAGTTTGTTTTGTTGGATTCCTTGCCTCAAAATATGTGTGTAAATACTTTCAGTTTTCCATTGCACACAGTGCAGAAACCAAAACAATTTAAAGTAGTTATATCTTTGAAACTGTTTGAAATTAGATGATGAAGTTTTGTGGATGTTTATAATTTATTAAAATCTTTGAGTGGAATAAAAATCAGCAAAATATGAGACTTAAGGTTGCATGACCTGAATTTTTTTTACATTAAATTTCCCTTTATTTAATAGCATTTTAATAATATAAAATCTTGAGTAAAGATCAAATTTGTTAAATTATAACGGCTTTCAAAAACATTTGTAATTTTTTTTCAACAAAATGTTTTTGAGTGTATTAATTTAAATTAAACTTTAATTATTCTTATATAAAGTTCAGTATATATATATATATATATATATATATATATATATATATATATATATATATATATATATATATATATATATATATATATATATATATATATATATATATATATATATATATATATATTATATATATATATAATATATATATATATATAAATATATATATATAATATATATATATATATATATATATATATATATATATATATATATATATATATATATATATATATATATATATATATATATATATATATATATATATATATATATATATATATATATATATATATATATATATATATATATATATATATATATATGAATTTTATTATTAAAACTCTCAACCCTTTCCCTTTGCAAATTTGAGAAGTAAAAGTTATCATTAGTAGAAATACATTCGAGTGGGAATGAAGGGTTTTTATCTAAACTTCAAGAATCTTTGTTATGCTTCAAAAGACCAAAACCATGTTTTTTATTATAGTAGCCTAAGATCTCCACCTTCATTAAAAAAACTTGGGCTCTTCCCCAGAGTGACTGGGGAATAGCCCAAGACTAAATGTTACCCATGGTGATGAAACAGAAAGTACTACTAACCATTTTGAAATCAAAAAATAACCATTAAAAATTTTATATTGGGTTGGTTTCTCTGCATTTTTAAATTCAGCATGCTTAAAATTTTTTAAGTTTTAAGCATGCTGAATTTAAGCGTTCTATTCAGGAGCGTATGTAATATAACTAAACTTTTCTAATAATTACAACTCTTTTTTGCTCAAGCTGTTTTGTTTTGATTTTTTTTAGGTATGTTATTATATTTTAAAAAACTACCAAGATTGAAAAAAACAAAACATATTGACATCCAAGTTGAAAATTTGAAACATCAAATTTAGATTTGCCCCTCTCTTGATAATTTCTGATTGCTAAAATTACGTTATCTGCTTCTTAGACTTAATCATTAAAGCGACATTTTTTTTTTTTGCCTATGTGACGTTACTTTGTGGCAAAAAAAAACTAGAAAAACAAACTAAAATAAGATTTTATTTAAATTTTTTAGAAAAACTTCTATTAAAAATATATAGAATTTTTTTTATGGGATGTATTCTTATAAAAACTATTTATTTATTACTATTGTAATAAATCTTATCTGTGAAATGATATTTCTGATGTACATGATATATCTGTACCAGTTTTATAGCTTTTTATGTAATCGTATGCAAAATAATTAAAATTAATCAAAAAAGGTATGATGAATGCAAAAGGAAACTTGACACATAAACGTTTATTTTGCCACAAACTGACGTAAATGTGCAAATTTTTTTCGGCTTAACTTTTAGATTAGCGTTTAATATTTTTCTTTAGTTTTTAATCATAATCATAAGAATGAAC